TGGACTTTGTCCTGTCGCAGCCCCAGGTGGGCAAGGCAGTGGTCATCACCATTGGGGGCGTTCGGGAGGCTCTGTACACGGCCCCTGGCAGGCACTGCCTCAAACTCCTGAATCGCAAAGGGTTCATTCGCTTGGCACTGAGACACGGGTGAGTAGACGTGTAGGTATGGGTGGTGCAGGTGGCCTTGTGGGTCCACAGTGATGACCACCAAGAGAACGTACATATAAAGTCACTGCACAGGCATTTGTCCACACAGGTGAGGATTCCTTTCCTAATGTTTTATGCAGATACATTCATGAGCTTCCAAAGTCCTGGACAGTAGCATCAGTTGACCTGGCCTGGGGAGGGACCTGTTCCCCAATTTGCCCAATGTGGGTAGACAGTCCAGGGTCTCACTGTGACTCTTCTCTCTGCAGAGCCTCCCTGGTGCCCATGTACTCCTTTGGGGAGAATGACATATTTAAATGTAAAGCTTTTCCCAGAGGCTCTTGGCAGTACATGTGGCAGGTCACCTACAAGAAGATCACAGGCTTGCCTTTGTGCATCTGCTGGGGCCGAAGTATCTTCTCGCGCAATTCCTGGGGTCTCCTGCCCTTCTCCAAGCCTATGACCACTGTGGGTGAGTGCCCACCTGCACAGAAGGGAGCAGCCATGGGCAGTGTAGACAATGGCAGCCTCTGACTCACCTGTGTCTCCCTCCCTTGCAGTGGGCGCCCCTATCCCTGTGCCCCAGCTCAGCGTACCCACTGAGAAGCAGGTTGACCACTACCACAGACTGTACATGGAGGCCCTGGAGCGACTGTTTGAGGAGCACAAGGAAAGCTGTGGTGTCCCTGCCTCCACCCACCTCACCTTCCGCTAGGCCTGGGCTCACCTACCATGGAGTTCTGAGACCCCATCTGCTGCCCTGCTCCATCCAATAAAGGCTGTGGTGGAAGTGAGTACGACCTGGCACAGCGTCCCAGGTCCGGTCCTGTCCGGTCTTGTCCTATCCTGTCTGCTGCAGAGTTGTACCTGGGATTGAGACTCAGGACCCTGAATCTCCCACCAGGAGGAGAGGACTCTGCCACAGGACCTGGGTCAAGTCTTTCCCTCTCCCTCTGTGAAGAAAGGCACTTGCCTAGGGTGGAGCCTTCCTTCAGTTACTCTGTCAGATCAGGAGCTAGCAATGTGAACTTGGGTGCTCCATGGGCTGTGGGCATCCTTTATATACATACATACATACGTATGTATGTGTATATATATATATTATTTATTTGATGCGGAGCGTAAGATATTTTTTTGTCTGCTGGTTCACTCCCTACATGATGTCAGTGTTGGGGGTTATTCAGGCAGATGCCTCATTTCCCACTTTGGTGACAACTGAATCAGCTGGTGCTTCAGGCTTTCAACACCCACGGGGCTCCCACCCCACCCACAGGGGAGGATGCACACCTGTGGTTGCACCTGCTCAAGAGCCAGGACAGTGACAGGTATAGTCCTTTCCCAACTGTGCAGTACTGGGAGGGTGGCAGAGATGGGGGAGGCTCCTGGGGTCCATCCAGGACTTCCTGTGTGGGCTACCCGGCTCTCACCTGTCCTCAGCCCCTTCTCCCCTGACAGTGCATCCTTCTGCCATCTGATTCTAGGTCCACAGTCCCATATGCAGGTGGCTGATCCTGCTGGGGATGGTCCTGTGATGGGGTGGGAGTTGCGGGTTCATGTCCTGGAGGCTCCCATATGGCCACAGCATGGGTCACAGGCATGGAAGCCGAAGGAGATGTGGCCAGAAGGCACGGACCAGTCTCTCAGCCTATTCTTGTGTCATGTCTCCCCTTCTCTGACTTTGGGAGTGGCCACACTCCACCTTTCACCCGAGTGAGGGTGGAGTGGGTAGTGCAGCCCTAGGGAAAGCACTCACCAAGTTCCAGATTCCCAGGGAAAGTCTATTGGCCAAAGGGAGAGGCAATCAGCTTGTGATCCCGCCCCTTGCACCAGAACCCTCACCTTTTGCCTCCAGATTGTCTTGGATTGGTCAAACGTTTCTTCACCTCCAGGTCCTCCAGACAATCAGAAAGTAAAGCTGCCCAACGTTCCCACCCATCTGGGATCCAAGCCACTCAGAAGGAAGATGTGACTATGTGTCCTGCCCCAGAAATGCTCCTGGGCCAATGGAAACCCTCCCAGTCTGCACCCTCAGACACCTGGGGTAGCTAGCTTCGCTCCCACCCTGGCTTCCCCAGGACAGGCGGTGGGCAATGCTGAGGTCAAAGGTGGCTTTGGTCTCTCAGCTGTCCCTCCCCAGAGAGGAGGCTCAGCAGGCAGGGATGCTCACCTGTATTCTGATCTGGGGGTGGGAGAGGGAGGATGCCTGGCTTGGCCCCCCACTCCCATGCCCTTTGTACCCACAGAGGGTGAGAGGTGGTGTGACTGCTGGACTCTCTGGACTGTCTCCTTCACTGCTGGGCAGCAGTGACCCCGGGAGAGACCTTAGAGGTGGGAAAGGGCACGACTGGGGTCTCTGTCCCCTCAACGGTCAGCAGTCAGTGGACACGCATTCTGGGAATCCACTTAGCACACTGTAGTTCACAGAGTGAGGGTCAGTTCCAACACCATGGCAGGCATTTAGGAGTAAATAAATGGGAGATCAGTATGCCTTGCTATCTCGCCTCCCAATAAATACATGATTTTTAAAAATTAGAAATAGAAAACATATTTCTTTTCTTTTTTTTATCACTTAAAAGACTTAAAAGGAAATGTAAAAAGAAATAAGCCATAAATTACTGTTAACTATAGCATTTTAATTTTTACTCTATTATATTTAACCTGTATATTTTAAAATGAATTAACTTTGCCAATAATAAATTCTATGTTTTCTATCACCCTCCCCTGCAAAAAAAAAAAAAAAAAAAAAAAAGGAAGGAAAAAGGAAAGACCGAATTACTGAGAAGGATTTCCATCTGCTGGTTCACCCCCCAAATGGTTACAACGGCCAGAGCCAAGCTGATCCAAAACATTAGCCAGGTGCTTTCTCCTGGGGCCGGAATACTTGCGCCATCCTCTGCTGCTTTCCCAGCCTATGTACAGGAAGCTGGATGGGAACTTGAGCAGCTGGGATTCGAACCAGGGTTCATATGGGGTGCAGGTATTCTGGCTTATACCTGTGGGCCACAGTGCAGGCCCTAACAGTGTTTACTCCCATTTGCATTCTGGTGCAAATACATCATTTGTGTCCTTGGCCCTGTGTTGGGTGGGTGCTTAGCCCACAGTTATGATCCCAAATCCCATATGGGCGTGCCTGGGATCAGCACACAGTTCTAAGTCCTGAGTGCAACCTCCGCTAATGTAGACCCTAGCAAGGAGCAGTGATGGTTCAACCTGCCAACTGGCTGGGGGACACAGACTCCTCCTTTTCATCTCCCTCCTTCTTCTTGCTCTTCCTCTTCCTCCTGCTCTTCTTCTTTTTTAAAGCCTTTTTTTTTCTTCTGCCAAAGGCAGTTTTACAGGGAAGATACAGAAAAACTTTCCATCTGCTGGTTCAATCCCCAAATGGCTGTTTTGGCCAGAGCTAAGTCAATTTGAAGCCAGGAGGCAGGAACTTCTCCTGGGTCTCCCATGTGATGCAGGGTCCCAAGGTTTTAGGCCATCCTGCTCTTCTTTCCCAGGCCACAAGCGGGGAGCTAGTTGGGAAGTGGAGTAGCCTGGTCTCACACCAGTGCCCATATGGGATGCCAGTACTTGCAAGTAGGTGATTCGTGTGCTGAGCCACTGTGCTGTGCCCTCATCTCCTCACTTCTGCCTCAGCTCAACCCTATTTCCAGGCATTTGGGAAGCTAACAAATGGCTGAGATTGACCTTTGTCTCCCAGATAAACGATATTAAGCGTCCTATATGTGGTATTTGAACACTTGTCTTATTTTGTGAATGTGCCTCTTGTACTGTGAAACTATTTTTATTCAGTAAGGCTGTTGTGGTGTTTATATACACATACACATATGCAACATTTATCTTGTCTTTTAAAATATTTATTTATTTTTATTGGAAAGGCATATTTGCAGAGAGAATGAGACAGAAAAATCTTCCACCTGCTGGTTCATTTTCCAAATAGCTGCAAAGTCAGAGCTGAGTTGATCTGAAACCAGGAGCCAGGAGCTTCTTCTGGGTCTTCCGTGTGGAGGTCCCAAGGATTTGGGCCATCCTTGAGTGCTTTCCCCGGCGACAAACATGGAGCTGGAAGGAAGTGGAGCATCCAGGGCACAAACAATGCCCATATAGGTTTCTGGTGCATGCAAGGCAAGGATTTAGCCATTGGGCTATCATGCCAGGTCTCTATATCCTGTCTTTTTAAAATACCTGTTTATGTATTTATTTAAAAGGCAAAGTGACACAGAGAGACGGAGTTAGATAGAGAGATCTTCCATCTGTTGGTTCACTCCCAAATGGTTGCATACATCCCAGGCTGGAGCAGATCAAACCCAAGAGATTATTTCAGGTCTTCCACATGGGTTGCAGGGACCCAAGCATTTCAACTACCCTCCACTGCTTTCCCAGATGCGTTAGTAGGAAGCTGGGTGGAAAGGGGAGCAGCTGGGACTCAAACTGGGACCTATATGGGACATTGGCCTTAGAGCAGCTTAACCTGATACTCCACAACACAGTCCCTCTCCCCACCACCACGTTGGTTATATTTTAAAGAGAGTCCTTAGCAGGGCTAGTGCTTTGACATATCATGTTAATCCTTTGTCGGCAGCACTCACATTCCATTTGGGCTATGGTTTGAGTCCTGGCTGCTCTATTTCTGATCTGGCTTTCTGTTTATCACCAGGGAAAACAGAGAAGGATGGCTCAAGGCCTTGGGTACCAGCATATGCCTGATGGTGGATCCACAAGTCTGGGGTTCTGGGATATGCCTCCAGCCCCTCTAGATGCCTATCCAGGCCAAGATGGTCAAGTGGTCATGCACACACCTTACCAGAGACTAGGGCTGGAAGGGAGATTATGAGTGGATTAGGCCTATATGTTCACTTCCAAAACCAGGCTTTATTGGGTCAGAGCAGGAACTGGGAGGCTCAGGACTCAGAGGAAGGTGAAGCCAGGCCTAGCGGAAGGTGAGGTGGGTGGAGGCAGGGACACCACAGCTTTCCTTGTGCTCCTCAAACAGTCGCTCCAGGGCCTCCATGTACAGTCTGTGATAGTGGTTAACTTGTTCTTCAGTGGGTGCGCCTAGCTGGGGCACAGGGATGGGGGCGCCCACTGCAAGGGAGGGAGACACAGGTGAGTCAGAGGCTGCCATTGTCTACACTGCCCATGGCTGCTCCCTTCTGTGCAGGTGGGCACTCACCCACAGTGGTGATGGGCATGGGAAAGGGCAGAAAACCCAAGGCGTTGGGTGAAAAGATACTTCGGCCCCAGCAGAAGCAAAAGGGCAAGCCTGTGATCTTCTTGTAGGTGACCTGCCACAGGTATGGCCAGGAGCCTTTGGGAAAAGCCTTACATTTAAAGGAATCATTCTCCCCAAATGAGTACACAGGCACCAGGGAGGCCCTGCAGAGAGAAGAGTCACAGTGAGGTCTTGGATTGTCCACTTACAACACTGGGGGCTGTATGTCCTTCTCCAGGTCAACTGATGCTACTATCCAGTCCTTTAGAAGCTCATGGCTGTGTGTGCACAGAGAAGTGACTGTGTTGAAGAAGGCCTATGAAGTGGGCTTTCCTATGCACCCTCTCATTCAGTGTTTACAACCTCAGCCTTGGGCAAGGCAGACTCCAGCCCTGAGTATAGGGAAAGGTCAAGCCCTAGGGGATAGCCTGGGATGCAGGATCAGAGAACAAGTGGTTCTGGAACCTCTGGTGCTCTCGATAAGATGTCCTCAGCTCAGAAAGGCAGATGCCTGGGAAGATGGCACAGCCCAGGACAGAGGACAGTGTACATCAAGGTGGACACGGCCCTCTGGTTTGCACGTGGTCATTGGTGTGGACACAATGCCACCTGCAGGCACTAGACTGAACTGGCACTGAGAGGACAACCCAGCATCCATACCTGCATGTCCACTCACCCATGTCTTAACGCCAGGCGTACAAAGCCTTTGCGATTCAGGAGTTCCAGGCAGTGCTGTCCTGGTTCCGTGTACAGAGCCTCTTGAACACCTCCAATGACAATGACCACCACCTGGCCCCGCTGGAGCTGAGACAGGACGAAGTCCAAGCTGTGACGGCTTGCGGGACGCAGTCCTACGTCAAGAGCAGGTGGGGTCAGTCACCAGTCCACTCTGATTTCCCAATTCACTGCACCTTTCAGCACGGGACAGGGGAGCCCCACCTCTGGTATATTTGAACCCTTGTATCCCTCCTCGGAATGGACTAGGGGCCATGTGCTAGGTGGCTGAGGGTGGGGGGAGACCCCTGCCAGGAGCTACTTCTCCCCATTCACTCTGAGACTCACCAGTGGCCTGGATGTAATCTCGGAACAAAGGGATATAAAAGATGCCAGCTAATGTAGCTAACCATCTCTGCAGTCCCGGAAAGTGCTGGGAGAAATTGTTGCACTCAGTGATAAAATTACAGAAGGGAGCGGTGCTTGTGATTCCGTGGGGATGGGCTCCTAGCACGTAGTTCTGGTTGGGGGGCAGCTCTGCCGTCTTCACCAGCTTGACACATTTGAGCAGGAAGAGAGGAGGGAGGCACAGAGGACAGGTTACTGCTGGAGGTGCTGCCCTGTGCCCCAGGAGACCTCAGAGCTCAGGGTCCTGGGGTGGGCTCAGGGTCCAGCCCTCCACCCCGTGCCCCTGTGAGTCCTTAGGCAGCTGGGCTCAGGCTGCAGGACAGGGAAGGGAGAGTAGGTAAAGAGGTAGGGGAGGAGGAGAGTTGAGAGGGTGAGGAAACATTTCTGGAGAGGGTGACCCATCACCTTGATGGGGAAATAATCTCTTTGCTCTTTCCAAATTCTCCAATTCCGCACCCAGTTGCTTATCCTTCCCCCTGCGGGCAGAGATCCAGGTGGCAGAATCCCCAAGACAGCCTTCCCATCTCTCCCCACCTGGAGCCCTGCCTGAGCTCACCTTGGCTGGGGGTGTCCCGGTCCAGGTAGAGCCACATCAGGTAGAGAACAGTGAGAGACCAGAACCGTGTGAAGAGGAGGAATAAGAGGAGAGCACTGGAGAAAGGGCCTGGGGAAAGGTGAGATACACAGACCTTTGGTTCAGGCACTCGCCTCCTCCACCTGCAGGAATTATCCTGCAGGGACATCTCTTTGGTCTTGTTCTTGTCACTTGACCTGAGATACAGGTCAGCAGTCCTTCACACACAGCAACCCCAGCCTTTTCTCACCTAGGATCGTGAAACCCAGCACATAGTGGAGGGCACCCAGTGCTTCCAGCCACTGCTTCTGTGGGATCTTGGTGGGGCAGGAGGGTGGAGATGCTGTGGGGACACCCATCCCAGCAACTTCTTGGTCTGCAGGACTCAGGCAGCGTCTCAGGTGTCCAGCGTGTGGCTATTGAGCTGCCTGGGTCTGGAGCCCCAGTGTCTCCAGGCTCCTCTGAGACAGATCTTGAACCGATTCTAGTCTGTCAGTGTGGGCTGGTCTCTGGGAGGAGCAGGGCGGGACTAGGGTGTGCAGGGGGAGGGGCAGCACCTGGATGCTCAAGACTGCATATAGGGAGGGGACAATCCATTGTCCAGCCATCTCATGGCCTCCCCAGGTTGTGCCAGGTACCAGGAGCCTGCACTGAGCTTTCTGTGCATCTGGGAATGTCAGGCTCCCTTGGGCTCTATGTCCTGCAGCATCCTGGCGCACCTGCCCTAGCTTGCACACAGACACACAGGTGACCCCTCAAATGAGAACAGCAGTTGTTCTGGTCATCTGGATAGCACCCTCAACCATGAGCAATGGAGGCAGAGCTAAGGGCTGTGGCAGTTTCCCATGTATACAGTGGGTGAAGAGGAAAACCATCGCTTTGAACACATGACACAGAGCCCAGAATTTCAGACCCATCAGGGACCTCATGGCACTTGGCGGGACCAGACCTAAGGAGGAGGAGGTGGGGTTCATGGCCAATGTGGCTAGTGCACAAGGCAGCAGGAGATGTCAGCAGCTGTTGGGCAGCAGCAGCACTGCTGTGGGCAGGGGCTGCTAAGTACATAAGTTTTGGGAACAGCTGTACAAGCTCCTTTTCCACAAAGAGGAAGAAACAGGTGCCAGGGAGGCCCCTTTGGCCTGGCTTCTTCCCCCAGGAGCAGCCCTGGTGCTTCTACCTAGACCCAGCTGTCCATGTACCAACTTAGGAAAGTTTCAGCTGAGGGTCCCCAAACTCTAGGCTCTGGGGTTTGCTTCCAGCTGGTCCAGGGGACCAGCCCATGGCCAGGATGGCCACTTGGTCACCTGCAGACTTTTTCATGGGGCACTACAACTTGGAGGGATGGTACAGGCTGGCAGGCTTTATGCCTGAGTCTTGGAGAAAAGAGTGAATAGGCACTAGGAAAGTGATACCTGGGCAAGTTCCCCACACCGTTTTGTGCATGTGGGTTGAGGGGGTTGCTACAGCTTTAGCCCTGGACATGATGTCTTGGAGAACACCAGAGAAGGAGCCGAACAGGGTGCAGGTGCAGGACAGTGGGGAGAGAAGAGAAGCCAGAAGCCTCTCTGTGGTAGGTCTCCTGGATTCACAACTCCAGGAGGCCGGGAAGGAAGAGAAACCAACGTGCTTGTTCCAGGACGATCAACTCAGTCAATTCCCCAAGGTAGGGAGCAGAAATGCACGTCCTAGCTGTCCCTGGAAAGGTGCTTGGGGATAGGGGTTCCAAGTCTCCTCTAAAACCCCCCACACCCAGCACAAAGTCCTCGGTGCCATCAAAGCAGAAGTTGTCAAGAAATGTCCCCTTCATCCCAGAGTTGAGCTATCAGTCCCCAGGCAGGTAGTTTTGGGAAGTATGTGCACCTTGAAGAAGTGTGGCCTGGGGAAAAGGTGCTGGAGTCAACTGGGGGTTGTGCCTGCTTAAAAGGACATGCTGCCCATTCCAGGGGTCTCTGTGAGCCTAGCTGATGGAACTACCATCTGTCACGCTGCATGAGTTACATCCACAGCTTGAGCTGACAGAGGTGCCATGCCCTTGACCTGCAACATCATAAGCTTATCACTCCCCCTTCCCTTCACTAATAGCCTGTATCAGATGATTAGTTACAGAACAAATGCTAATGAAGACTCATTCTGGAACCCTCTCATCCCCAGTGACACTGTGTAGTGAGGACCACAGTGAGGGGTGTGGGACCCTCTCGCTGGTTCATTTTCTGAGCCCATCTCTCTTTTTTTTATTAATAAATTTTATTTTAAAAATAATGATTATGTGGTTGATCAGGGTGCAAAGGATCGAGGTTTAGGAAAATTGGACAAATTCATTGCTTCCACATTTGCTATTTCTTCTTGTTGTTCCTGGGAGAAGGGGAGAAACAAAGGGAGAAGCTACTCTGACTTTCCACAAGTCCCAGCACCCAGGGATGAGGAACTACCTCCTCATATCAACCCAGAGTCTCAATGTGTGCATATCCCGAGGGTTCTGTCCAAGTGGTTTGGATAGTTCTGAAATGCTGCCAAGGATGATGTCACCCTCCCAATGTCCATTGGCTCCATTCACCGAGAATTTTGTTGTCATTGTTTGGGGTAGTTGTTCAGTTAGTTCTGTTCTTCTGCTATAGCACCAAATGTGCTGCCATATTCTCCTTTTGTAATAGGGCCTGTGTCCACTACTTCACCATTAAGTAGGGCATGTTCTTGCAGGTGAGTCCAAGTACCTGGGCCTGGTGTCCCAAACATTACTGGGTTGACTTTGTCTACCTCCCCTCCTCACAAGAACAGTGGCCTTGCTCAACTGGTCACACCCATTCTGGTTCTTGTTGTTGGTTGTTGCAGCCCAGTGCTACCTGGTCCGCACTCAGACACAGCTTTCACATAGTTCAGCGGGAGTCAAGACCTAGTCCGGCCTGTCCTACACCCAAACTGGCTCTCATAAGTACCAATGGGGGTTGGAGTCAAGTACAATCTGTCGCTCCACTGTCCCAGTGCACATCGCACCATGGCAGCCTGCAGCCCTGTACAGCCATACCTACTGCCCTCAGTCCTACTCTCATTCTCACCAGTGGGAACCCCAACCCAGCTGGGGTACCTCTTTACTTCCCAGCAAGGCCTGACCCCAACCACAATTCTTGGTTGAACCAGCAGAGATTGTGGTTCCACAGGGGTGAGTCCACATTTCCCCCACAAATTCTGCTATCAGACCAACTTCTCTCACTCTTGTTCTACCCTCCAAATCACTTTGGTGTCAGTCTTCTACATACATACACATGTCATGGACTTATCAGTTGAAGTCTCTCAGTTGAAATTCCTAACCTGGGCATAAAAACACAGGTTATCTCCCACTGTCACCTGTGTGATACCACCATCCCCCTGTAAATTAGACTCTAACTGTGGGGTGTGCACCTGGGCGGCCCAAGGTGCTTCACCCAGAGCCTTTGGAACCTGGGCAGCATGGGCCTTTCAGGGGGGAGCCATGTGGCTTAGCTATAGGCACCTGTAGGGTAAAAAACCTAAACATCCAGGATGGGGTGGTCCAAGAGGCCTGCCGAGCTTCCCTCCCCCAAGGGAGCCCACGTACTCAGCATATGTACCTCCAAGAAGGGGGTCTTGAGACCCTGCAGTGAATGTCTCTTCCTCAGAACCCCATCGCTGTCTTAAGTACTTTTGTATTTGCATTTATGGAATGGTGAGTGCTGCCTGGGAGTTTAAACTAAGTGCTGGGTTTGCACGAGCAAGGAATGCTGGGAAAACTGCACCGGACACGTCTGGTCTACTAGCAGTAGCTTACATAAGATTGACGGGTGCAGGAGCAAGCACTGTGCTCAGCTTTGTCTGCTCTGGGCTGAGATCATCATCTGCTTGCTTCCTGCTGGACCTTGATGTGGCTCAGCTGCTGCTTGAGGGGTCCACATCACCCTCACTGTTGCTCCTCCATCCTGCTCACCTTTTCAAAGGCCTAAAACTCCCAGACTCTCAACACACTATGTTCTGACCCCTAAGGGCTATAGCCAAGCAAGTGCATTTTTAGTATTTATTGATTGATTTTTTTGAATTTATTTTTGATAATGTTTATATCGAGATTAGGGTAGGAAGGGTTCTGGATTTGGGGAATTGAGTGAGACCCTGTTTCCACAATTTATTTCCCTTCTTCCTGTGTCTGGGGGAAGGGGAGAAGCCCCACCCAACCTCCCAACTGTCTCAGTACACAAGGATCGGAAACAGCCACCTGATTTCATCACAAAGTCCACAATGTGGAACGTGCTCCAAGGGTTCTGCGTAAGTGGTTGCAATAGTTCTGAAATGCTGTTGATCTTGCAGATATAATAATGAGGAAATCCTTCCAAGGCCATTGGCTGACACAGTGCACATCTGAGTCTCCATTCACTCAGAAATTTGCTGTCATGCTTCACTGGGGTAGTTGACTAATTTATTCTGCCCTGTTTCTTCTGCTATGGTACTAGATATGCCCTGCAGGCTCCAATGGGCTGACATGTCCTCCATGTGCATCTGGGTATGTTCAGTCAGCCCTTATCCTGGATCATGAACAGGTGCAATTCTAAATTTTATTTTTAATATAACAACCTAGTTGAGAGGGATGCACCCCCATGTGGACTTCTGATTAGGGATGGGAGGCTAAAGTATAGAGGAAGATGGGTGGGACTAATATTTCTTTTTCATGTTTATTCCTCCAGTCTGCTGTGTGGGATGGGAGAGAGGGGAGAATGGGACTGCCCTTACTGTCTCAAACTACATCATCACCTGGGGATGAAGGACAGTCATTTGATGACGTCTTAGAGATCCCTGTGTGGGGAAGGATGTTTTGAGGGTGTTACTTGGGTGGTTTTGAGAGTTCTGAGACATTGCTGGCTTGGTTGCATAAGGTCTGAGAAAATGTTTCCAAGGTCTGTTGGCTGACCATGTCCACCTTGGACCATGTCCATAGTGAGCATTCATAGACGCAGACACTTGCTGCAAAGCTTGGCTAGGAGAGATGTCCAACCTGTTCTGCTTTCCATCATCTGCCAAGGTACTTGACGTCCTCTTCTGATCTAGCTGAATTGGCTGTCATGACTTCTGTGTGCACCTGGGCATGCAGTCCCCTGCTAGGTATCAACAACAAGGAGGTCCAGTTCTGAAACATACAACTAAGGTCAGACCATGTCTCTTGTGACTTTCCACTGTGGCCAGGATTGAGTCTAGCTTTCTAGCTGTGGATTCCCCCAGGAAACCTTGTTTGGTTGACATCAAACACGTCTCTTGTATGCAGCAGCCAGTGTAAGGTTAGGTTTGATCCATTACCTGTACCAGCCAAAGCACATATCAGGTGCCTTTGTTCACAGAGGAAGAGAGAGGGAGAGGGGAGCAAGGAAGGGAGAGTGTGAGAGAGAGAAAGAGAGGCAGAAGGAGAGGGAGAGACTTCTCCATGGTCCTCTGGCATATGGGGAATCTCCCTGGTG